AGTGTCGAATTGCTTGGATATTTGAAATGAATTCCTAGATCCCCTGCTGCCTGGAACAGATCCCAATCCGCGTTCGCGGTTAAATTAAGGGTGGACCCTCTCATTTTCTTAAAATATTAAATCATCGTTCTGGTGTCACAGCGGGGCTGCTGTCGTGCCGGGAATCCTCAGCTCTCCGATGCCCCTTGGCCAAGCATCTCTTCGCTGGAGGAAGAATGGTTAGCTGTCCGACTGAGCGGGATGGGAAAGGAATTAAAATTCATTGGTCCCAGAAACCCATGTCACCGGTCGAGTGCCATCGTAAATACCTGAAAAAAACCCTCTCTTATCTCTTGTCTCTCTTTCTTTACTATACAACTACACTATAACACTGCAATGCCGCCACAGCGACCGCCCTTCCGTGCCGAGGGTCACCATAAAAATTATACTCGCGCTCGTTCGTAATATCAGGACGAGGAATCTTTCCTTGACTCTCTAGCACAGTCACCGATGAAAGTCGCGTGCGATTCTTCTTCATCCACCTTCTTTTTTCTTTATTTACCAATGTGTCGTTGAAATACATTTCCTCTTTAGTTTTCAATGATATTTTTTTTATTCCTTCAAATTTGATCTCTGACCTCTCTTGCTGTTTATTCGTCGCTTTCTGTTCAGTCATTTTTTTACTTTCTTCTAGAGAAATTTATTGTCATGGCTCTTGATATTAGAATTGGCATTCTTATCATATCTTCATGTTCCAGTGTCTCTCAAAGGTCTTTAAACTATTTCCGTATGTATGAGTGCTTAAATGTCTTCAGAATATATGACTTTGTGATCTATGGCTGCATGTAACTCGATAATTCTGATCATCTTAATAGATTATTGGGTGTAGAATCTGAATTTGTTATTTTTTCATGGAATTGCAAATTTTTTAGTGATAAATACTTGAATCATTCAAACACATTTTTCAGTTGAATTACTATTTTTACTTTGATGGTCAGAAATGATGCCAATGAACATTCAAATGATAAGAAACAGTTTAAAGAACATGTTACAGAGTCTCTATCCTGGTATCACAATGTAAAGGTCTTGCGACCCCAGTGTGTTGTCAGTATTATTAAAAATGAAACTATTTCTGATCTACGAATATTGTTTTTCTAGTTGAGATCATCTAGAATGGTGTGAATAGAGGTCCATGATCTCTGGAAGCCATATTTTCCAGACAGATATGAAAAAAAAACTTCTTAGTGTTGTCTCATGGCAATGTGATACAGAAGACTCGTGTTACTTCTTTTTACTAGAGTAAAATAATTATTTATGTGTATTTATTTTGATAGGAATGTACTACTGTTGAATTTGAATAATTACAGGCTGCATGAAAAAGCTTTTTATAATTTATTATTAATGAATAGTTGGTTAGTGTGTTGGATTCATCATAAATTAGATGGCAAAGTAGCCCGGTGAAGTATTGTACATAATTATGAGTGACTGCTTAAAGAGTAAGCAAATTAATATTATAAATGAGTACAAACAGAGATGAAGATGTGTAAAAAAATATATATCCTGTTGGAGAACTTCTAATTATTGAAGTTAAACTTCTATCAACTTTTCTTTTATCCAAATATTTCATTATTGCTACTAACTAGGAGTGACCACCTTTGTACAAGTTTATTAACAATCATAATGTCTCTTTTCCATACCTAAATACATTTTTATTATCAAACTTCTATAACAGGAACACTGATAAATTCCTGTAATTAAATACTCATTTATAGAAATTTACATAAGACATTTAGTCAAAGCATTCTAGAGAAATGTATCAAATTTAAAATATAATAGCACTCATTTTTATTTTGTTAAATTTCGCAAAATTTAAAATGGGTCTGAATAATAAATTAAATTTCATACAAAAACCTGATGTGATTTTTTGTTTACTTTCCATGAGAGTAGAGAACTCTGAGAATCATTAAATACATAATTTTATTTCTTGGTAGATATAAAATATTTATTTGCTTGTCAACCTTTTGAATTTTTCTATTAAGATGTTATTCAAATATTCATCAACAATTAAATTAAAAACTAAATATGAATAAAACATGAAAAATATTGATGTAATATTATTTTTTTTTTCCGCTTTATGTAAATATGAATATAATTTATAAAATGAATGCATTCATGTTACAATTTTTTCCAAGAATTATTACAGATGTATTTCTTTGAAGAAAAGTTCTACTATTGAATTTTTCTCTCCAGAAGATTATCCAAGTATTTTAGAGCTGTTGGTTGGTACTTGGACTCTGATAGGATCTATGAGAGTGCACGCTAAGTAATGCGACCAGAACGCAATGTGAACGAGAAACGTTGCCGCGTGGCTGAGAGTGCAACTGGTTTTCGTTTGTCCAAGATTTTCATCTGTTTTCTCAGAAACTCGACGTATGTTAAAAAAGTAACCTTCCAGTTTCTCATTATATATTAATGTTTACAATAATAAAGAAACGAAAGAAATAAAATTATAATTTATAATTAATTGAATCATTATCAAAAATAACTATTCGCAGTGATAAATTGGTGAATAGAAAATATTGTATTCGAATGTAAACGAGTTAAATAAGATTATTACAACATGTTTTTTTTTGACGAGAGCCAAGATAAAAGAGTATAAGGAAAGCCGTTGACATGAATTTACATGTGAATGCAAAAGATCCACCTGCATGATCAAAAGTGAGATTATTTCTTCCTGTACATGCATTTTCTGACAATTACATGAACCCCCCTATCGTATTATCATTGTAATTTTCATTTCTTTGAACCGTTTGTAACAATCTTGAAGAAATGCTGTTAATTTTTAACCCAATGACAGGTGTGCTCTAATTTTTGAACAATTTTCGACATCGCATGTCAATTTAATAAACCATGTTATATTTTTAATCAGTTTTGAAGAAAATAATTTGTTAAATTGCTGCTATTTTTTAAAAATCGAAATATCCTTGCTAATTTGGCGGTTGAAGAAATTCGAATATATTATATGGGCATGATGAGATCACAGCAACACGAACTTAAGGTTCATTAGTCTCTAAAGACATGTGTTATTGCCACGTAATTCACTGTCACAATGGTATAAAAAAGAAGGAAAAAAATCAAAGTTATTACCAACGTGCAATCTTTTATTATCCATCAAGTTTTTTTTCTACCACTTTCGCGCCTCATTCAGATGAGCTTTTTGGTATAAGAGCAAAAACCAATTAAAACCCATTTATACGCCACCTAATTCATAAGATCGTCATTCACGTCAGTCAAGTCCAAAATGTTGGATCTCATCTTATGACGTATTATCTCATATTTGTCTTTTCTCAGCACCTCGATTTAATTCTTCCATTCCAGCTATAAGACATTTGAAGGCTTTCTACCCAATAAGATTTGACATCAACGAAATAGTCATTATACTCATTATAATAGAACTGGTCACTCTTGTATCTAATATGATAAACGATAATAATATTTTTTTCGAGCAATAAAAAAGATGATTAATGAGCTTAATCTCAACTCTTTCATATCTTTTTATTATATTATATTATGTGAACACCTAAATTAACTATTTTATATACTTTTCTAATATTCGCAAAGAAAATAGTTTTATAATAAAAAGCTAACATGATTACACTTCATACTCATTTTTAACTTCTGAACAGATTTAAAATTAAATTTACAAAATGGGTTTGGAAATCGTTTAATTTTATTTTGTTTAAGTGATATTCAAATTAATGAACTATAAATTGTTCTTGTTAGGAACTTGAAATTGTTGTTGGATTATTGTGGTGCAAATGAAATAGTGGTTTCGTTCCAGACTGTGATAAAGGCAATGAGAAATGCAATGATTATGTGTACTATCAGGCAATAATAATAGAGGTAATGAGATGGAATGATATTTGATATGAGTTGAAGAGCCTCAGGGCGAAGGGAAGATACTCGTCGGCCCTGCGACACAATTCCACATTCCTTCATCTCAACGGGTGGCCATTCTTCTGGCATAGTCGTCTCAGTCAGCCGCATTAGAGTCGATAGTTCCGTTGTGTGTTTTTGTGATTGATCACGTGACCTCGTCATTCGGTATAATAAGATTGCTTTTAATCTGCCAGAGGATGAAATGGCTTCGAGGGCGATCTTGCGTCTCGGGACCGCATGCCAAGGGTCCAGCCCTCCTTATTCTCTTTCTTACCTATTCCTTTGATCATCCTTGAACTTTGTAGCCGCAGTTTTATAGTCTCTGAACTGATTCTGTCTTATAAGGAGAAGAATATTGTAATTGCTATGCTTATTTTTCATATTTTGTTTTCATTTGTTTTCTCTATATCTCATCTTCGATATTTGAAAAGACTTTAAAAGGACTCTAGAGTCTGGACATTGGAAATGAAAATATATACTTTGCAGTTGAGAAAACATTTTCATTAATTCAAACAGACTGGAAACTAGAAAAACATTTGCCAGTTCTAGATTTTTTTCAATACAGCATACCTTTACTACGTCATGTACGTTAATTTTTTCTTTAAATATCCGACATTTATGATGTGAATTTTATATTCAAAAAATTCCTTTTTCTATATTTTTTTGCGTTAATCATATCTGCAAGAACATATGTCCAATAATCTGTAGAAGCACTACACCGCTGAGTAGCGACGGTAAATGTTTCGACATAACCAACCAGATTTTATTACCAACATTTTACACTGGGAAACCCCAGAATTATACCCGATTATTCAAATGTGCAACCCTTGCCGTGAGGCAATTCTGCGAGCCAATTCAAATTTATGCAAAAATTTGACGGACGTGAATTCGCTCATCTTATTAATATGGATCAATTTATAAATTTTCTTCACGTATTTTTGCCTGCAAACTTTATTATTCTTCTTGGCTTCCAATATGGACTTTTTGATTAACATCTTTATCATACGGCTCAGATCTAATTTTAAATTGATATTTTAAACATTAGATAATTTTTTTATCCAGGGAATTTCTTTCTTTTTCAGAACATGCCATATCATTTGAAGTCTTTGGCGGCTGATATAAAGAGCGGCGCATAGGTAAGTAATTATAAATTAGATACTAATTATATGTTTTCTTCATACATTCAATAATTGGTTAATGAGCCATAAAGTAGGTCAGAGTAATGCGTATGTGCAAATAATTGCTAATTAATTGCATACTTTTAGGGGGAAAAAATATGTGAGATTTAATGATGTGATGAAAATTGTTTGGAAAAAATATCATTAGAGGTTATTATTAACTAGTTATAATATTAAACAAATATATTCATCGAAATTAAAACTTTGGAAAATTTTTAATGTTTATACATTGAATAATAAAAGCTGAATAATAAAATAAAGAACAATTTTTCCACATAGATTGAAAGGAAATTCAGTTTTTCAATTTTAATGAGCACAAAACAACTTTATTAGCAACATGAACACGGTAAATAATAAACAAATAATTACTTCAGAGTGATTTGAGGGTTATTAGAGCATTAAATATATCATCAAAGTAATAATTAATATTTATTAATAAATAAAAATAGAAAATAAACAAAATTATTTGACCTTTTGTTAAAAAAACAATTTTATTCATGTTAAAAAATATTCTAAAATGAACAAAAAAAAATGACTGAGCATAAAATATTCAATAAAAATTAAATAACAATTAAAAATGAATCCAACTTTTATAATCACGAAGTAAAGTTGAAGTGAACCATTTTAATATTCCGATAAAATTGTAAAGATTATAAAAAGATGTTGAGTACACGTTAAAGAGTTGATTGAATGAGAAGCGATTGTGCAATAAAAAGTAACTCGTCAGTGAAAAAAATTGCATAAATCTAGGATATCGTTGGCCCTGTAGAAATTCCGTATTCCTGGATGGACTGGTCTCTGACAATACTGTCCAAATGACGACGGTCTATACGAATCGTATGGATAGTACATACTGCCTAACTATGTCATAGGAAATGTCCCCCCCCTCTTGACCCTAGTACGCAGCAATGGGCTCGAAACAACTACCGCAATCAGCGCACTCCAAATCGAGTCTTCTTTGTAAGCTAAAAATTCCAAGAATGCCCACTCGAATTCTGATTGGAAATCAACGCACGATTTCTCACGTAAGTTCTTTTGACGATCGCATCTTCATTAGAAAACTCACTAGAATTTGGATGAGAAAAAGGCGGAAATGAGTAACACAATAATGAATAAATAGACTTGAATATATTAGATGTTATTGAGTGAGAAAAAGATTGTTTATTTTCGTTAGATTATTTGTTGAATCTTTTAAGTTATTTTTTCTTTGCTGCGTCGTTTATAACTCTCGCTACCTGATTGAAAGTAGCGTCGGTGGAGTTTGGTGCACGCAAATGAAGAATTGTCAGCCAAATACGTTGGAGAGAAGGCAGAAGGACGAGAAGACGAATGAGGAGTAAAGGGGTAACTTTGGTAACATGGGCAAGGGCGGAAAAGGGGAGATGAATGGAGTGTAATGCCAGACTTTGGCCTGATTGTTGCTTTTCCTCTTCGTCCTCACACGGATCTATCGGATTTTCACGACCATTTTCTCTCTCTGCTTACGTCACTTCCGCTGCAGATACATCAGATTCAAAGTCATCTTCAATAAACTCACATACTCTATACTACTTTTCGGCAACTTATGACAATCGATTTGTTGATTGCTTGATTAAAAATGCTGTTTCATCATTTTCTTCAATCAGCTTTTTAGTCACTTGACTTTTAAGACATCTGCTTTTTTTTTAAATTGAAATTTTACTTTACATTTTTGAGATTCTTTTCTTTTCCTCTTTTGAGTTAATCAATAAGTGTAATTTTGGTTATGGTGTTGATGAAATGAAGTGTAAATAATGACACAATTTGTGTTCATTGATAACGATTGTCACACAATAGAAAATAATTTGATTTCAAATTTTTTTTTTCAACTGCACTAAATTCAACGGTTGTTTTCAAGAGATTTTGAGGGTCGATTCGATTTGCTCTTCCAGTTCTGTGAAGCTTTTTGATTGATGGTTTACAAAAAATAGTTGAAATTAAGTATTCAATTCATTTCGATATTCAACATTGAACAAAAATGAATGTGAGGTTTCTATTTTACTCTAGAAAATTCTATTAAAATATTTTTTCTGCAAATATCCATCAATATCTTCTTGAAAGAATTGCCATTCGAATGATTCTTTCAAATCTTCAATCAACATTAAATTTTCGATCTATAAATTTTACTTGTGGATTAATTTTTTTTTTATGAAACAAAAATTTTTGTTAGCGCGAACAATTTAAAAATAATTTCATATAATTTTTGTGCCTTTTTATGGTTGGATGGAAAACATCATATGAATATTCAAAGGGGAAAAAATGAATTACGAGTAGAGAAAAGCGGTTCGAGGTCGAGCACTCCTTCACCCCCTAAATAATAAAACTGAAAAGGTAAATATAATTACCTACCCGTAACATGTTTGTATGCCGCGTGGAGCGAACACAACAATCGCGAGACTCTTGAGAACAGGTCGCTGTGAAAGAACCACCCCTCTCACTTCTCTCGTACGACAAGGCTTTCGTTCAACGAGACAAATTAATGTTTCAGGGCCTCATCATAAGATTACTACCCAATTTAATCTGTACATACTGCTTCAGGGACGCGAGGTATATTACTACCTTGATTCATCGTTTGTAATTTCACTCATCCTTCGTTTTATATAAAATCATTCATTGCAACACATATTAAATTCGATACAAAGTATTGTAGATTTTTAAAATCACTTTCCAATCTAGACTTTAATATAAAAATTTAACATTGGATATTGTGAGGTAATTTTCAATTATTTTTTTTATCTTTAAAATCTTTTTTATAACATTCAAAAAATGAAATAATTTTTCATCCAAAGATTAAAGTTTAAATAAAATAAAAATTCTTTTTTAAATTTAATATATTTATTCACTTTAGAAAGTACATTTTTTTAAGATAAAGTTTTTATAGTTGTTTTATGATGTTATTAATTCTCGTAACAAGTTATTTAGTATTAAATTTATTACACTAGGATAAGTATTTTTATTCTCTTAAAAAATTTTATTCATCAAAATTAGAATTTTAGTATCAAATAAATTTTAATTTGTTTTTTTTTTTATTATTAAAAATATTAATTTAATATTATTGTTGAATGTACTATTGAGTTGACAAGAAAATAGTGAAACATCAAGAATAACTTTTAATGTTATTTTCTCATTTAATAGTCTACTAACTTTAATCCATAATATAGTGACTGCATGCATCAATAACTTATGTTCACTTTGAGAGCAGAGTTATTGTGGTGTCATCTCAATACTAAATGTTTTAGACTATTCAAATCGTTCGAGTGTTTTAATATACTTTTGTCATCATAATAATATCAAAAACAATTTAAAATATTATTTTTATTAAACAAAGGTGTATCTTTATTAATAGAAAACAAAATTTATCTAAAATTTAAGCAACATTATAATTCCTCTGAAACAAATAGAAATAATTTTATTTCAAGTTCCTAATGTACGATGTCACAGTATGCATACGATCTTTATGAGTAATGGGAATCACATATGGGAAAGAGCCTAGCAGCCGATAGCTCACGTATGCATCATCAAGTGTGGAGGGTTAGAGGGATGAAAGGAGAATATGAGAGCGAAAGTATGTGTGTACCTCAAGTACCCACATTGGATCGTTCCACGTATGTGGAAAAGTACCTATTGCATAGTCCATAATTGGCTCTCTTGATCGCTGACTTCTCTCGCGAATGAGTGAGAGAGACCTACCATTTTGCTTTTCAATATTCCCCATTGGCCGTTCTACATCATCTTTTCTTGTGCCAACATCTTTCCATCTAATTCCTCGTCATTTCCCCTCAACCTTTGAACATATTTTTCTTTATTGCTATAACCTATACTTACCCTTGCACTGCTTTTCATGCCATAGTGCGTATATGGATATTCAAGCGTCCCCCTGTGTGTCAAAACGAATCTTTCAAAGCATACAATCGAACAGGTAATCATTCAATTTTTTTCTAGATTTAATTCGACAATTGAATTTATTAGGCTTGCAAACTGAGTGCTATTTAAACATTTTACGAAGGTATTTTAATACGGATTACTATTTAATATATATTTTTTACAGTTGAGGATAAGAATTTGATGCAGGATTGTAAATAAAATAAAGCATTTATGATTACTTTTTTTTGCAATCATTATGATGAAAAAATATTTTGTTGAAATATTCCAATTAGAGCATTTATTTGATCGAAGTTTTTAAATAAAAAAATTCCGGACTGTTCATGAAAAATTGATTAATAAAAAAAAGATTGATTAATTGATAAAATATTTTGTCGTTACTTAAAAAATGTTTTGAAAGTAATGTAATTAATTTTTTTTTCTTTGTGTCATAATTAATCAAAAGCATATTTTTCAATAAATATTTATCATTCAAAATGTAATAAAAAATCTAGTAAATTTAAATCAATGATAAAATTGAATATTTCTCTTGATGAAGATCCGTGTAATTTAAATTTCGAAAATTAATTATGAATTTAGCAACTGATTTTGTTATGTGGATTTTTAATCAATAATATTGGAGTTGTAATGAAAGAAAAAAACAGATTGACTCTAATGAATCTGGAGCAAAAATGGCAGGATCCTTAAATAGAGGGATGAAAGAATAAGTCGTTATATTGAATGATAAAGATGAACGAGGACAAGAGGTTGACTAACGTGGCAGAAGAGAAGAGATCGCGGCTTCGGTCACTTTGGAATTCGGCGTGCGGCTACCACAGGAGCTCAGTGAGGGCGGGGCAGACGTCAGACAAATGAAAAGCATCCCTAATTTGAAACTGAGAGTCGAAAGGCAAACAAGTGCCAAACCCGGTTCCTCCACGACCTTTTTTTATCCCTTTCACCCGTCGTTCTTCTGGCAATTATGAGTCGTTTATACCAAGAAAGCACCACGGGGATTCCCGAGAATAATCTCTAGCTTTCTTAGTAAAGGATAAAAATATAATTCAGACTTTAAAAGCCTCAAAGTGCAAATAAAAATAAAAATAAAGGTATTTAAATTTAGAATCTAATTAAATTTTTTTTAACTCATAAGAAAAGATCTACTTTTTATTGCATGATTATCACAATGATTTTTAAAATTACTTTTCTGACAATTAATTGTTACGAATTTCTTATTTATACTTATTTTTTTTTTCGCTCTTCTTTATATTCAAGATACTGCAATAATTTTAAACTTAAACTACTTTTTCTCAACAAATAAAATCACACAATTAAAATTAGAACTCAAAAGTTCTTTATTAAAATTGACTTGAATAAAAAGTGGAATTAAACTTTTAACGAAGCTGTTCTAGTAATTTACAGTGAAATGAATGTGCCTATCTTTTTTTTTTTTATTGTACCTTATCTTCAACTTGACGTCCTTCAATGAACCAGTACTCAGTCCGTGTTATCCTTATTAGATTACTGGACAAGCACTTCTCAATTCTCTCGTTGTGAACTTGTTCCTTTGTCGAAAGATTTCTTGTAAATCGACACACTTGCTAATCGTACTCGAGTTATTTTCTTGTTAGATATCTAGTGTAATTATTCAGAAAAAACTCTTCTCATGATAGTAGACGACAATTAAAGAATCTTTTTTTTTCTCTTTACCTTTTATTACTTTTTATCAAGTTTTCTATTGTCTCTATTCCTCTGAGATAAAAAGAGAGATGTTAAAATATTTTCCCTCTAAAATAAAAGTAGAAATTCGTTCGAGTATGCCATTTTATCCTAACTAGTCAAGAATAAAAGAGAGTGAATTGCAGGAACAGATAAAAGTTTTGACAAGTGTACCTGGGTTGTTAGTTTAAGAGAAGAAAATAGGAGAGAGAAGTGGAGTAATAAGAGAGAGGACCGTGATAGTTTGTGGTAAATCCACAGGATGTGGTATGTATATACAAGCTTACTGATGTTTTTGTTGGGCAACGGTAGATGACAGGTCCTTGAATCAAGAATAAGTGTGTAGATACCATTAATTCCTTTGTATTATATTATATTATCTTTGTACACACTGCTCGATATCACAAGCCATTAAATTTCCAACACAAAAACAGAGTTGACAATAATTAGCAAAAAAATCAATTATTTATCATTAACTTGCATAAAAAAACCATTAACACACTAAAAAAATAATCATCATTACTAAAATAGAATAAAATAATTTATTTATTTACAAATAGACATGAGATTGGTTACCAAGAAATTTTGCTATTATTTTTTACTATTTTTAACTCGTTTTGTGAGATAATCGATAATATCTCTACCGGAAAAATAAAAAAAGATGCAATAGCACCAGGATATTAATAAAATTACAAAAGAGGATAACAAAAATAATGAATACAATAGAATAATAAAAAATGAGATGAATATGTTAATTAATAATTCAGTACAAACAATATTGAATAAAAAGGTCACAATTGAAAAATAAAAAAAAAAACTACTGACAACAATAAAAGAATGGAAAAGTAATTTTTGTTAATTAAATTTAATTTTCATCATCCTGTAACTTGAAAAATATAATTTAATATCATGGTGTATAAGTGCAAAATAACAAAGATAAGTAATTACTTCAAGTAATCTCCACCTCTACCTTCTATTCCGTAGCTCCCCGCTCGCACGCGAGTCGTTCAATTAACGGAATACTGTTGTCTTCCCCTTCCCTCGAGTTATCCTGATGCCGGTGTCGACCATCCCCCGCGAAACCCGCGAAATGTTTCACTCGCTAAGTAAAACGGTGGGGTTGAGCCGCGAGGGGAACATTCGGTACGAGACAAGAAGCCACGAGTAGGGGAAGAGTGTGTTCTGATGCCCCACCTCCAACCCACGCCCCTCCGTCCCTCCGTAATAGCATGCATGCCCCTCTTTCGCGAGTCCTGTTCTGGAGTCACTGATCCCCCACTATTACTACCCTCCTAACTCCGCTGATACCCCCACTGAATCGCGAACTTGATGGGGGAAGCTCCCCCGGCCGCACTCGCTCGTCTACCGTCGTACAGAGCAGACCTACGTTTTACTCTATTCGCGCGCCGCGTGCTTTCGCGAGTATCACACCAGTTACTGTGTGTGCCGGTCTATTTTTCAGTGACACTGCTCGAATTATTCATCCATCGAGTCGTCAGTATTCTCAGAATTAATTAATTCTTGAAGAAAATTCAAGTGATGAAGTGTTTTTATTACATGACGAGAATTAAATGTCATTTAGAAGAAGATATAGATTTTATTAGTGAGACTGACACGTGTTAGGTTAGTAGAAACAGACCTGTCGTGCTGTCTGATCACCGACGGATGAATCTACTGATCAAAGAAGCAGCATCAGTAAGAACTTGAATGTTCAGTTAGACGTCGTGAAAATTGAAAAAGTTGATTATTGATGGGATTTGAATGATCTGTTGGTTATTATGTCGGATAAAAATGAATTAGCTGATGAAAATAAATGAAATTGTTGGTAAATGATGAATTATTTATTCAAAGTCTTGTGAAGACTTAAGATATTGATTTGATTATAAAACTGAGTGTGTGATAGTTGTAATAAAAAAGAAAAATTAAATATATTGCTAAGATATTTGTGACATAAGTGATTAATATCGTGGTTAAAAAAAAATATTCCATTTTAGGATAAGTGAACAAGAAGTGGTGGCATTGAAGAATCATCAAGGAAAAAACTTAACTGATCAATGGAATAATTTACAAGATCGCGAAAAAAATTATATCCTGGAGATAATCAACAGCCTACGTATGTTGGACTTTAATGTAAGTCACATTCTTTTACTGTTTAAAGTTAAAAAATAGAAATCCAATTAATTTAAACAAACAGTCGAGGGAGAAAATCGTTACAGAACTTCACCTAAATGGAGAGAACATTGTATAAGTTTTTTAAAGAGAAAAGTTTTAATGAGAAAATTCATAGAATTTTTATGTAACAATTTTTTGCTTTGGTTTTGCTGCAAGAAGCATTTTTATTTCGTGATAATAATCGTTAGGAGATAGAGAGATACGACGTGCGGCTCGTCGGCCGAACGACTGAGTAGAGTGCGCGTAAACACTAGTGTTCTGTACACGGCAAGAAATTTCTATTTCGTGCCGGACTCAATACGCAGGCGCTCCAATCTCACCACGTGCTCATTCACGATCTCTTGTCATCAAAATTCCATTTTTTCCCCACAAATTCATCCAAAGATCCACTTAATTTATTTTCAATAAAGCTCTCATAGAAATACAAGTGTCGAATAAATCGGGTAAATTAGTTAAAAAAATTCGAAGAGTTCTTAACATCAGAATAGCTAAAGCTTCTACCCGATTACGTAGTCAAGATAATAATCCATCTTGGCTTGGCGCCAAAATGTTGGATCGTTGGCTTTGAATCATTGTGGATATTTAGAAGTGGGCCACTTATGAGCTTTTCTTTCTCCTTTTGTTTTCCCGTAAATACCAAGATAAAGCTTTCTTTCCACTTTATTTCATTTGCATTTCATCTTTAGTTAAAGAGGGCTAACGTATCACCCGTCCAATTAGTTTGATTCCATATAGAGTCATATGAACGATAGCATCGGTCACGTAATTAGAATTATATCTAATTTATCACATAATTACATTTTATGGAAGTATATTTTCTCTGGTACACGCTAAAAATGGTGTAGAAAATCAGAATTAAATGGCGTGAAAATTATAAAAGTTTGAAATTAATATTGATCTGCTTGTGGAGAAAAAGTTTCGTCTCTAGTTCTAGTTATTTTTAAATATAGCCTTGGCTTCTTAAAATGAGAAGTACTTTGTAATAAGCATTTTTGATTAAAGTTGTATTTTTATTTTTTTTTTTTTATTTAATTAGGATTTTTATTATTTTTTTTTGGAATCAACAGTAATTACGTAAGACCTACTTTTAGCATGAATTATCGATTAAACTTTTTATGACATAATTTTTTTAGCCATTAATTTTATTTGTTAATCGAAGCAAAAATTTAAACAATAGATTCTTTTTATTCTACTTTCAAAAAATATTTGATTGTTTCTAGTTATTAATTAACATGACCTTAAGTGTTTATGCTTCATAAATATTTATTATAAAAATAATAAAATGATTAAAAAAATCAAATAAAATTATTGAAGCAATTTTTTGGAGGTTTTATAGTTTATTTTTTAATAAATAAACCAGTTGTTTTAAATTGACTTGAATTTTTTGATAATTAAGGATTATTAAGAGAAGTACAAATTCTTCAGCTGACCTAAATAGCAAATATTTAGAATAATTCGTGCTTTGTTAGATGTAAAATAAATTGATATCAAGTCTTAGAATTCTAGATCATTTAAATACAATTTATGTTTGTGGAAAGTGCATTTAAATGACCTGTCTAATTAAAAGTGTCGTGAATGATGGAAGATGCGAAGCAAGTAGAAAAAGTTATTAGCGGACAGACATACGAAATGAATCAAATTAAAATGAAAATAATATAAAAATGTCTCCAAGAAATGATTAAATTAATAGCTACAAGATAATTAATTTTATTTATCGAATGAAAATGACATTACAGTTGTGTAGTCAGAGTTCAGTTGGAGATAATTATGAGTTATCTTACTCGTGATAATGATCAGTTATACATAAGCAGTACTCAGTACAAGAACGCGTTACGTTTCCTGGACTTGATCCAAAACCCAGCTTGTTTAAAATTAAAATAACACGGCTGTGTGCCACCTACCTTCTGAAATTTGGCTCACTTCATAGACAAATATTATTATGACAAGATTCTTAACAACAGGAAATTACACTCGATCAATATCACGACACCAAAGTGAGTTGATTCGAAGAAACAATTAAATAACAAGTTAAAGAATGGAGTAAAAAAACTTCAAGGAGCAATAAATAATCGTGACATTTTAATCCAATTTCATTAAATTGCTCTAATCATTTTATTGAGAAATCAAAATTAGCTCAGCTTGATAGAAAAAAATTTAATAAAGATTTAATAATTAAAGTAAAATTAAAGAATAAGAGAAAAAAATAATAATAAATCTAGACACTACTTTTTCACTGTCAACAAATGACAGCTGTCGTAGAAAAAACTCAATTACATATCTCCAAGCACAATCGTGTGACGCCATTATCTTACTTCTGGCTCATTGCGGTGTCGTACAGGTGGAACGAATCGTGAGTTTTACTTCATACAAATAATACTCAAGGTAGTGGAAATTGCATTTGCGTTAGAAAAAAAAAAATTCTTGCTTATCTTGGAGGTACTTTAAAGTCTAAAATAGATTGCAGACGATTGTCGTCGCTTATCAAGTAATGTAATGTTCTTAATAACAGTCTCTTATTATCCTCAATCTCTTCTCAAGCATAACCCAATAATTTAAAATAATCTGTTGTAAGATGTAATTACATTTTACAACAATAAATCTATTATAATCAATAATTCAAACTCATATCGATGGACCAATACTTTAAAATCATATACATTTCTGCATAGATAATTATTTTAATTAATTGATAAAATTAAAAAAAAAAAAAACATGATCAAGTGAGCTATAAATTATTCTTGAATAAGTAAAAGATGGAAGGATAATAAAAAATTTTAATTCAAGTTCTTAGATGTTAAATAAATAAATATTTATCAACCAAACATCTGGATTGAAATTTGATAGAATAGTGAATTTTTATAGACCCTTAGGCGTAGATTTATTTACTTAATTACACAAGTGAAAGAATTTTTAATGGTTGAATTAGCTAATAAAGTTGATGTAATAAATTAAAGGAAAACAGACATTTATTGAGGTTGACATTTGATCTATAGACGTAGTTTGTAATTATCCTTAAATGACAACAGAACATCATAAAAAGTCGCGTAAGAAAGTATAGTAGCTTATGCACGCATAGCTGGAGAATTAAAATGTAAATATTTGATTAGAATTAATCCAGAACAGGTGGATGAATGTGCGGGAAGAAGAGAGAAGAATAGAGAATGAGCGACGGGTTATGGTGAAGAGGTGAAGAGGGCGATGGCCCTAAGGGGCACTTTTTATTGCCAGTTTTTATTGGCCGTGTAGGTACACCCCCTGGTGTTCTCCCCCTTTAGCCAGAACAGTATCTCGTTTAACCACCCCTTGGCTCTCGTCTCTTGCCTCCCTCTCTCGACGTCCAACCTTCTATTTCTCTCCACCCTCCCTCACCCGTCGTGTGAAGCCGGATGGGAGAGGGTTGATTAAAACTAACGTTGTGCCAAGAATTACCCCGTGAGATTGAAAATTAAATTAATACACTAAACCCACACCTACTTTCCCGCCCCCCTTTTCATCCAGACTCTCCTTTAGTTTCTATCCCACCCTCACTCACCCCCACACAACTCCTTCCTTTTCTACCCGCCGGGCTAATTAGGTATATAATATTAATTAAAAGTTAAGTGCCACGTCGTTTTCAGCTGCAGCTATGCGATACTGTGCACCTTCACGTTTCCCTCACGTTCTTGCGACGTCGGTACAATTCATAAAAAAAATCCACTTGAATATTCAGTGGCAAAAATGGAGGAAAAAAATGAAAATCTATTTTCTTGATAACAAAAGATGCTTTTATAATTATTATAATATCTTTATTATACAAATTTAATTATAGTCTTGATTTTTTCATTGAAAATTTTTTTTTTTTTATTTAATGTCTCTTTTTTTCCCTTCTTCTTTCGTTCCATTAAATTGAATAGACTTTCAAAAAAGTTATTTTTTCTGGAATAATAAGATTTTTAATAGAATAATTATTAATTCTCTCTATGGCAATCTAATCATAGTCTTCGCTTTTTAATTAAAACTTTACCGTTTTATTAAAAGTTTTACATAATTTAAAAATATTTTTAATCCAAAGTATTAATTACATTGAATAGAAGGTTTTTTAAATCCAATTAACTTTAAGTAAATGAAACTTCAACTTCGAGTGAAGAAAGAAAAAAAATTTTCATTCTCAATTTTTTCCCCATATTTCATATTATTATTTATTATTAAAATTAATTCCAGGATTATGGGATGTATATAATGTTTATTCGAGTTAAAAAAAATTAATCAACATTAAGATATTTTTTATTTTGAGCTGCATATTGAGAATAAATGAACTGTTTATCAGTGATAAATTATCATATTACGTAGGGAAAGGAGTAAATATTGGAAAGTAGTGTAGAAAGAGGACTCTTATACCACCGATATGACTATCTGTTATTACTTGGGTCGGTCGCCTTGGTACATTAGCTTACGTACATCCATGAATATTATCCAGCACTAGTCCAAGTGGTAGGAACTAAAGGGTAGGAGGAAAATGAACAGGAGAGAGGACTGTATGGGAGATATATAAGGTATAAGGTAGTCCATTAACGTTAATATTATAAACGTTAGCTGCCCTCTGGCCATCCTGGCATTCATGTATGGATCTCCATGTAATACAGGCTCCAAACACGAGTGCTTGCTGTTCTTATACACATAGATACCATCCACAAATACATACATGTACAGTACGACCGCACGATATCCGCCATGACTCTTACTTAGGTGTTCCGTTACCATACATTATCTAGCCACGTTCTGCGAGTTGAACTCCAATGAGATCTGACACTTCATGTTGGCCCCGACAGCCTATTAGTGTAATTAGCTTACTCTCTAAAAATGAAACAGTGAAAATCATTGAATGGTTTTGAAGGGTTTCTTTCAAGTAACCTTATTTATTTTTAATCATTCAAAACGATAGCATTTTGTTTTTATTTATCAAAATTTATTATAAATAA